TCGTCACTCTTTAAGCATTTGGTGGGAATAGCAATACTGTTCCATAGCCACTATTTGAAAGATTAGTAGATGCAAAGGAAATGACTGGACAACTTAAAAGTCACAGCATCGGCCATGGCCAGTGTGGCTCAGTTGGTTGAGCATCGTCTCACCTACCTAGAAGTCACCTTTTCCATTCTGGGTTTGCGGGCTCAGTCCTCAACAGTGGGCATGCAGGAGGCAGCCAATCGATGCTTTACTCTCTCCCTCTCCCTTCCTCTCTCTCTCTCTAAATAATAATAAATAAATAAATAAATAAATAAAAGCCACACTTGGTTTTTCAAATTCTGCAACAAATGTTTTTCTTTTCCTGCTTACAAATGATTATCCAACCTTTTGTTTTTTCAAGCACAACATGTATTCAGAATAAATGCCTTTCAGAATAGATTCAGTGCTTCAGTTAGCTTTGAAATTTGTTCATGTCAAGTATATGAACCTGAGTCTCTTAACTCTGATTCTATGAATAGACCTTCCTGGGCGGAATCCCGGGCCTTATGATACGGGGCCTTCCAGCGAACACCTGGATGTCCTCCAAACAGCTGGATGAAACAGAAGTCGACTGGAAAAGGGGAAGTTTCAAAAGGATTCACTTTCTCCATCACCTTACCTCTCTCTCCAGGCCCTCACCTCTGCCTGGGAAGACTCAATGTCCTTTTTCTTTTCTTCCTAGTCAACCCTACTCATCTTCAGATGCAATGCAACGCAGGCAGGCTTCTGTGACAGCTTGGGTCACAGCGAGCGATCTCTCTAGACCTCATCATGTTTGCCTGCGCTGCTCTCTCCTGGTATTTAATAAAACGGGACCTGTTTTTTGTTGTTGTTAATCCTTACCCAAGGATATTTTTCCATTGATTTTTAGAGAGAATGAAAGGGAGGGGGAGAGACAGAGAAACATCGATGTGAGAGAGACACATCGATCGGTTGCCTTCCCGCATGCACCCTCACAGGGTCAGGGTTCAAGCCTGCAACCGAGGTACATGCCCTTGACCGAAATCGAACCCGGGACCCTTCAGTCCGAGGTTTAACACTCTATCCACTGAGCAAACCCGGCTAGGGCTGGGACCTGTTTTGATTTCCATACTTTGACAGCTGTCTTGTCCAATGCCCTCAAGGACAGGCACGATCCGTGTTCCATGTCATTTATATACATTCCTTCCTTCTTCTCTTCTTTCCTCCCTTCCACAAACATTTACTAGCCAGCCACCTGTTTGTCAAGCACTTTGCTAGACACTGGAGAAAGAGACAAAGTGGTATAAGCCATAGTCCCTGCCCTTGGGTCCTTGTATGATTTCGTCCCTCCTTACCTTTCCTGCTTCACCCTAACACTTTCTTTTAGCTCTAGATAGGACGAAGGATACTCAGCCCTCTAAATAAACTCTGTCCTCTCTTTCCTCTGTGTCTGAGAATACTGACCCTCTATGCTCCCATGACATCATCTGGTTCATATTTGACCAACACCTACTCCGTTCTTCTGGTCTCAGCTGAGATGATGCTTGTGCCAGGAAGCCCTCCCTGATCCCCAAAGTGAGGTGCCCTTATCCGCTCCCCTATACTCTGCCCAACATTGCATTTTCAGAATGGAGTTATAACTGCCTATCCACCTCTGTGTGTCATTGCAATCTATTCTCTGTTAGTACAAATACGTGTTTCTTTTGTGTATTGGGTCTGAGCCATGTATATATTTAGCTGCTGGTACCTAGTAGGCTTTTAAAAATATATATATTCAATGAATGAATAAATGCGTGAATAGATGTCACAAAGGTAAACAGGTCTCAATCCCTGCCCTTGAGGACATCACCATCTAGTGGGGGAGACAGAAATATGGGTAAACCGTCATCAAGGTGCTAAGTTTTAGAATAGTTACATAGTAAAAAGCTAATATTGCCTGGGAACGTCAGGTCCTTCACCCAGGAGGTGATGTTGGAGCTGAGTTCTGAAGGATTTCAAAGGCAGATGCGCAGTAATCAAGTATTGTAGAATGTTCCAGCTTACCTCTATGCGAGTACCAAAGGGCACCCACGCCTCTGCTTTTGTCAGAGTTCTCGGTGTTTGTCTGTTCCCCAGTGAGGTAGTATC